TCGCATTTTAAATTTGAAAATTTAACTGTCTCCAGTTGGTTAATATTGTATCACACTTGATGCAGTGGTAGAATCTATGTTTAACAAAAATCTGATTCATTTACAACATTACAGTAAAACAGCAATCAATAAGATGAAAAATAACTTGCATCATTTGCTTTCATTAAAAAAAAAAATGATTGAAAAGTGTCAAAAGCTTCAACACAAAAGTAAATTTATGATAATACAAGAGTAAAATTTGTTTCTCAGTAGACAAATGATAAACAATCTTCCATCCCTACTGACAGCAACATTATGTACATTCATAAAATATAGCAATGTGATTTTTTGGCAAGAACAAATATGAATAAAAAAAATTGTTAAAAAATGCCTATAAAACTGACATTCTATCAAAAACAGACAAAACACAACTGCAGCAAAGGTTTTTTTTAATTTTGAATGTATTTTACTTCATTTCTAAGCATGCCCTATTAATTTCAACAGCATTTACATAACGAATTATGGGTTATTCCAGGAATGAAGTCCATAAAGGAACAGGAATGAGTTTCACCAAAAATCTTACGACTAAAGTTGATTGGAAGTATACTGAATTGTGTAAGACTTATGATCAACTTTAGTCATAAGATTTTTTGTAAAACTCTATTTTTTTACTCTAATGAAAACAAAAAAAATAAGCAACAATTACAAATGTCACCTAACAAACTACTGTACATGTATGAAAATTGCACATGTTTGTAGTACTCTTTATATTAGAGGATTAAAAAAACATTTTTCACATTAAAGTGATTTTGACATTTTTCAAATACTATTTATTTCTAATTTCTGCTGTTTTTGAATTCATTTTTTAGATTTCTAATCCTGATGTTTTAAAAATTGTGTTCTGACCCTATAACAACTTCTCTCCTTTAATAACTTTAAGTGCCTATCATAACATTGATACGTAAACAATATACATGTACATAAAATACTGTAACAAACTAAATATTTATAACATGTATGTATGATAACAAGCATTTCTACATTTGACTAGAAATATACAGTAATATAATTCAATAAAAACAATAAATGCACTTATCTACAAGAATAATTCTGTTACCGGTATTATCTTTGCATGTGTTAATGTAACTGAAAAAGACATTCAAACAAGCATTACTTAATAAATTTAAAAAATAAACAAAAATCGACAACAACCTTAACTAGAGGCTCTCAAGAGCCTGTGTCGCTCACCTGACTCTACTTTGGTTTTAGAAATCATGTAAAGATAGATAAAAATCATAACAGATACCCAAATAATGATTGAGGCCAAATTTTGATTAATATTGGTCCCATTATTTAATAAAATATCATGGTGGCCATCTTGAACAGTAAATCGGCAACAAAGTAGCAACACTTGGTCAGCACTTCATAAGGAACATTCATGCCATGTTTGGTTTCATTCCATTCAGTGGTACTCTAAAAGAAGACATTTGTATGTATTTCCCATAGGGTCCTATGTTAAACTAAGCCCCCCCCCCCTAGCGGCCATCTTGGATGATGGATCGACTGCAAAGTAACAACACTTGGTCAGCAACTCATAAGGAACATTCATGCCATGTTTGGTTCAATTCCATTCAGTGGTTCTCTAAAAGAAGACAATTGTATGTATTTCCCATAGGGTCCTATGTTAAACTAAGTCCCCCGCTGTCGGCCATCTTGGATGATGGATCTGCTGCAAAGTAACAACACTTGGTCAACATCTCATAAGGAACATTCATGCAATGTTTGGTTCCATTCCATTTATTGGTTCTCTAAAAGAGGACATTTTTATGTATTTCCCAAAGGGTCCTATGTAAAACTAAGTCCCCCCGCTGGCGGCCATCTTGGATGATGGATCGGCTACAAAGTAACAACACTTGGTCAGCATCTCATAAGGAACATTCATGCCATGTTTGGTTTCATTCCATTCAGTGGTTCTCTAAAAGAAGACATTTGTATGTATTTCCCATAGGTCCTTTGTTAAACTAAATCCCCTGCTGTCGGCCATCTTGGATGATGGACCGACTGCAAAGTAACAACACTTGGTCAGCACCTCATAAGGAACATTCATGCCATGTTTGGTTTCATTCCATTCAGTGGTTCTCTAAAAGAAGACATTTGTATGTATTTCCCATAGGGTCCTATGTTAAACTAAGTCCCCCGCTGGCGGCCATCTTGGATGATGGATCGACTGCAAAGTAACAACACTTGGTGAGCACATCATAAGGAACATTCATGCCATGTTTGGTTTCATTCCATTCAGTGGTTCTCTAAAAGAAGACATTTGTATGCATTTCCCATAGGGTCCTATGTTAAACTAAGTCCCCCGCTGGCGGCCATCTTGGATGATGGATCGGCTACAAAGTAACAACACTTGGTCAGCACCTCATAAGGAACATTCATGCCATGTTTGGTTTTATTCCATTCAGTGGTTCTCTAAAAGAAGTCATTTGTATGCATTTCCCATAGGGTCCTATGTTAAACTAAGTCCCCCGCTGGCGGCCATCTTGGATGATGGATTGGCTACAAAGTAACAACACTTGGTCAGCACCTCATAAGGAACATTCATGCCATGTTTGGTTTCATTCCATTCAGTGGTTCTCTAAAAGAAGTCATTTGTATGCATTTCCCATAGGGTCCTATGTTAAACTAAGTCCCCCGCTGGCGGCCATCTTGGATGATGGATCGGCTACAAAGTAACAACACTTGGTCAGCACCTCATAAGGAACATTCATGCCATGTTTGGTTTCATTCCATTCAGTGGTTCTCTAGAAGAAGTTCAAAATGTAAAAAGTTTACGCCGACGCCGGACGACGCCGGACGACGGACGACGGACGCCAAGTGATGAGAAAAGCTCACTTGGCCCTTCGGGCCAGGTGAGCTAAAAAAGACATTTGTATGTATTTCCTATAGGGTCCTATGTTAAACTAAGTCCCCCGCTGGCTGCCATCTTGGATGATGGATCAGCTTCAAAGTAACAACACTTGGTCAGCACCTCATAAGGAACATTCATGCCATTTTTGGTTTCATTGCATTCAGTGGTTCTCTAAAAGAAGACATTTGTATGTATTTCCCATAGGGTCCTATGTTAAACTAAGTCCCTCTCTGGCGGCCATCTTGGATGATGGATCGGCTTCAAAGTAACAACACTTAGTCAAGACCTCATAAGGAACATTCATGCCATGTTTGGTTTCATTGCATTCAGTGGTTCTCTAAAAGAAGACATTTGTATGTATTTCCCATAGGGTCCCATGTTAAACTAAGTCCCCCGCTGGCATCCATCTTGGATTATGGATCGGCTTCAAAGTAACAACACTCGGTCAGCACCTCATAAAGAACATTCATACCATGTTTGGTTTCATTCCATTCAGTGGTTCTCTAAAAGAAGACATTTGTATGTATTTCCCATAGGGTGGTATGTTAAACTAAGTCCCCCGCTGGCAGCCATCTTGGATTATGGATCGGCTTCAAAGTAACAACACTCGGTCAGCACCTCATAAGAAACATTCATGCAATGTTTGGTTTTATTCCATTCAGTGGTTCTCTAAAAGAAGACATTTGTATGTATTTCCCATAGGGTCCTATGTTAAACTAAGTCCCCCGCTGGCGGCCATCTTGGATTATGGATCGGCTTCAAAGTAACAACACTCAGTCAGCACCTCATAAGGAACATTCATACCATGTTTGGTTTTATTCCATTCAGTGGTTCTCTAAAAGAAGACATTTGTATGTATTTCCCATAGGGTCCTATGTTAAACTAAGTCCCCCGCTGGCGGCCATCTTGGATTATGGATCGGCTTCAAAGTAACAACACTCGGTCAGCACCTCATAAGGAACATTCATACCATGTTTGGTTTCATTCCGTTCAGTGGTTCTATAAAAGAAGACATTTGTATGTATTTCCCATAGGGTCCTATGTTAAACTAAGTCCCTCACTGGCGGCCATTTTGGATGATGGAACAGCTACAAAGTAACAACACTTGGTCAGCACCTTGTAAGGAACATTCATGCTATGTTTTGTTACATTCCATTCAGTGGTTCTCTAAAAGAAGTCATTTGTATGCATTTCCCATAGGGTCCTATGTTAAACTAAGTCCCCTGCTGGCGGCCATCTTGGATGATGGATCGGCTACAAAGTAACAACACTTGGTCAGCACCTCCTAATGAACATTCATGCTATGTTTTGTTTCATTCCATTCAGTGGTTCTCTAAAAGAAGTCATTTGTATGCATTTCCCATAGGGTCCTATGTTAAACTAAGTCCCTCACTGGCGGCCATTTTGGGTGATGGAACAGCTACAAAGTAACAACACTTGGTCAGCACCTTGTAAGGAACATTCATGCTATGTTTTGTTTCATTCCATTCAGTGGTTCTCTAAAAGAAGTCATTTGTATGCATTTCCCATAGGGTCCTATGTTAAACTAAGTCCTCCGCTGGCGGCCATCTTGGATGATGGATCAGCTACAAAGTAACAACACTTGGTCAGCACCTCCTAATGAACATTCATGCTATGTTTTGTTTCACTCCATTCAGTGGTTCTCTAAAAGAAGTCATTTGTATGCATTTCCCATAGGGTCCTATGTTAAACTAAGTCCCTCACTGGTGGCCATTTTGGATGATGGAACAGCTACAAAGTAACAACACTTGGTCAGCACCTTGTAAGGAACATTCATGCTATGTTTTGTTACATTCCATTCAGTGGTTCTCTAAAAGAAGTCATTTGTATGCATTTCCCATAGGGTCCTATGTTAAACTAAGTCCCCCGCTGGCGGCCATCTTGGATGATGGATCGGCTACAAAGTAACAACACTTGGTCAGCACCTCATAAGGAACATTCATGCCATGTTTGGTTTCATTCCATTCAGTGGTTCTCTAGAAGAAGTTCAAAATGTAAAAAGTTAACGCCGACGACGGACGACGACGGACGACGGACGCCAAGTGATGAGAAAAGCTCACTTGGCCCTTCGGGCCAGGTGAGCTAAAAAGGATAGACTTTATTGTACTACCCACCATTGACTGTGAGGAAGGCTTTATTTTAGTCAGACTGAAGGTAAAAACTCTTTAAGTACAGCACCTATTCCTTGTGTAGATGCAATCTACTAAATAACTGTGGACTCATTTATGTTTATGGGTACCAATTTTCGTGGATTGAGAAAAATTGTATTTTCGTGGATAATTTAGTTCTTAGTTTTGCCAAAGTCTGCTTACAAACCTTTAGAACTTTTTATTTTGGCAAACATTAAAATTCGTTCTTCACTTATACCCACGAAATCCATCAAAATAGATATCCCACAAATAATAATGAATCCACATTCCACAGTACCTTATAAAATTAAGGATGTTTGCTACTCTGTTTCAAAATAACAAGCTTTTTAAAAGACTGTTATAAATTGATAGTATATAAATAAAGGAACTAAAAAACCAGAAAAAAATTAAGGGTCCGTGTGCTTGTTTTCGAGATATAAGCCACTGAAAATTTGGAGGGAAATAATTCTCTCTAGACTTTTCATACATTTAACATTGGCACCCTTTTTTTGAAAAAAAATTATGAAAAAATAACAAGGATTTTACAGCATTTTCAAATATGGCTATTTAAACTATATGTAATAAAATTATGAAAAGAAAAATAGGGGTTAGCGGGCAAAATTTTTATTGGCACTAAAGTGGATAAAACTTGGAGGATTCCGGATATCTGACAAAAAGTCAAAAACAAGAGTAGCGAACATCCTTAATTCAAAACCATCAAATAACTAATAACAAAACGATATCCAAAGATAAGCCACTTTGAAAATGGATTTTCGGGGCCTTTTATAGCTGACTATGGGGTATGGGTTTTACTCATTGTTGAAGGTCGTACGGTGAACTATAGTTGTAAATTTCTGTGTCATTTGGTCTATTGTGGAGAGTTGTATCATTGGCAATCATACCATATTTTCTTATTTTTATATACACCCATAAATACAATTTTTCATTACTAAAAACTAACATAATTTTATGTAAACACTTATAGTGTAATTTCACTGCACATAGCGTTTAACTCCAATTTTGACAGGACAAAATGTATTCAATTTTGGTTGGTAAAATTCATAATTTGCCTTCTTAAAAGAAGCATTTGTTTACAAAATTTCCTAATAGTAATACTTAAAAAAATGAGGAAGTGTAATAAAGGCCCTATTTGGATTTAAAATCTACCTTTTCTGGTAGCCATGTTTGGTTATAAATAGATTAAAAGTCCTTATCTTTAAAAAAGAAACATACATGGTACATTTTAGTACATGTAACATAAATTTTTCCTTGATAGATTAATTCAACAAGGTTACCTTAAAGAGAGCTAAAATTGAACTATGTCAATTTTAACTACACACTTTTTGCTATTTTTTGCACCTTTCAAGAAAATGATAATCACAAAACCTTTTTCTGCAGTCTTCTATTCACTAGACTCTTTGATAAATAAATAAGGAGTAATGTTGTTTTTTTCTAGACTGCAGCCTATCGTCTTCTTGGTTATTGGTTACCCTCGTACTATCTACTATGATTAAAAATCAATGTCTCCACTGAAATATCTTGCATTAAATTCATCAAACCCTATAGAGAGTTGTCCATTTTCTGCAACATTAACAGGATAAACTTTGGCTTCACGGTTTTGTCCCTTTGGCATTCTTACTTTCCCAGTCAGTAAATCAAACCTCCAGCTATGCCAAGGACATCGTATACATAAAGTATTATCTGGCATTTCTTCAATGTCTCCTAAATGAAGTGGACCACCTAAAACAAAAAAAATTGTGGTTAGTTAAACTTTTTATTACATTGAATTCTAATTAATGCAAATAAAGTAGAAAATACAAGGAACTATTTCCTTTTCCGAAAACCACTCAAGTTTGAAATGTAGGTCATAGTACTAGAGATCAGTATACATGTACAATTAAACTATAATAGAAACTATCATTTATATTGATTAGATTTCTAAAATATGGATCTAAACGCAATACTTAACTGAACCAGGATGTACATATGTTGAAGGTAAGTTGTACACATTGGCCAGGTTTAATCTACATTGTATATCCATTTTGACATTTGAAAAATACCCATTTTTTACAAGTTTATATGGAGAAATATTAGACCACTATCCCCTTGTTTTACTTTGCTTCACTAACTATGCTGGTGGTAGTTTTTTGCAGTGAAAATGCTTGTGATTGTAGGTGAGTCACTCTTACTTATAAATTCATCTTTAAGTTCAATTATTCAAATGGTATTATTTGATGATTTGGTCATATGTAAGAGAACCCCAAGGGTTGACTGGTATATAGAAATATGGTCACTTGGAATGGATTTCTCCCGCTCCGTCAATAAAACCCTTGCTAATGTGGAACACCCATTTGGTGTGGGTGGTATAAATTCCTAGCCACATCCAGTCATTATGAATACATGAAATCTGATGCCTCATGAAAGGAGTGTGCCTTACTCTTTCTATAATAAAGAACATTTGCAACGACTCGTGTACATAGGTGATATATATGTTGCAGTACTTCAATTTCTACCCATATCGAACACTCTCATATTCAAGTGGCAGTACATTTCCTGTCAATCATCCTGGTGGGCCTACCTTGCTGAAGCTACCCATTGTATTAATATCTAATTAGTTCTTGTCCTGAATATGGCATGCACGAAACAATTGCCACTGCATGTTAAACATGCAACAATCAATCACAAATCAGAGTATTTTACATTGTAATTCCAAATCTAACTGTTTGACAGCCATTCACTTTTCACTAGCAAAAATTATTTTTTACTTCAACACCTTGTGTGTACTGAAAATTATACAAAAAGGGAAGAAGAAACCATATAATAAGGACAATCAAAAACCATATTGTAAATTGAAGAAAGACTTTATCAGAGTATGTCACAGGTTGTACTGTACCTTTACAACACATATAAAAATAAATGTGGATTGTGTCCATGCATTGACACAGATGATGCCCCCGCTTGCATATCATATAAAGATATAAAGGGACATAACTGAAGAATGGTAAAAGTGACTCTACCTAAATTTGTACTTGATCTGAGTTTTGTGGTAGTAAGCATTGTGTATAAGTCTTATAACATTTGGTTGAGGTAAACTAAAGTTAGAGAAGGGAAACGGAAAATTCAGCAATTTTTATGTTTATAAAGGGGCATAACTAAAGAACGGTAAAAGTGACACCACCTAATTAAACTTGATCTGTATTATGTGGTAATAAGCATTGTGTATAAGTCTCATAACATTTGGTTGAGGCAAACTAAAGTTAGAGAACAGAAACAAATTAAACTGAGTCTTGTGGTAAAAAGCATTATATATACATTTCATTACATTAATTTAAGACAAACTCAAGTTAGAAAACGGAAACGAAAAATTCAGCAATTTTTTCATTTGTAAATGGGCAAAACTCTATAACAGTAATCAAAGTGCTTGTAAGCGCTGAATGGTAAAGATTGCTTTAATTTATCAGTAGGAAGTAAAATTGAATATTGCATTGTATAAAGCATTGGTTGTAGTTGATTCATCTACCATTATGCACAAAGAAAGATAACTCCAATTTTCAAATTTCCAATTTTTTATAGTGACCTATAGTTGTTAATTTCTGTGTCATTTGGTCTCTAGTGGAGAGTTGTCTCATTGGCAATCATACCACATCTTCTTTTTTATATTTAAAATATTTTTAGAAATGAAGGGTAAAAATTGCTTTAATTTATCAGTGGAATGTAAAATTAAACATTGCATTGTATAAAGCATTGATTGTAGTTGATTCAACTATAATCATGGACAAAGAAAGATAACTCCAATTTTAAAAATACTTGATATTTAGAAAAAAAATGAAAAATTCAGCAATTTTTCCATTTGTAAAGGTCATAACTCTAGATAAGTAAAAGTGACGGCCCCAAAATTCAAACTTGTATATTGTGGTAATAAGCATTGTGTATAAGTGTCATAACATTTGGTTGAGGCAAACTTAAGTTAGAGAACGGAAATATATCTCTAGAACGGTTAAAGTGACGCCACCAAAATTCAAACTTGATCTGTATTTAGTGGTAATAAGCATTGTGTATAAGTTTCATAACATTTGGTTGAAGCAAACTAAAATTAGAGAACGGAAACCAACTTTGGGACGTACGGTCCGTACATACAGATGGACAAGGGTAAAACTTAATGCCCCCTCCACTAAGGCGGGGGCATAAAAAATGATGAAAAGAGAAACATCAGTACACAAAACACTACCCAGATAATTATAGAAGGAACAAAACAAATCACACCAAAAACAAGGGGTACATACATTATATACACTCAGGTGTTCATTAAGCATGTTAAGTATCAGCAATTCAAGATTCACTAGCGAAAGCTGTAGCATCAAATAAACACATCATCGATTATAATTAATTTCTTGTTTAAGTACTATGCACATTTAACTGTATGCACCTGCATGTGGACATTTTTCATTAATGGCAAACACATCTTCTCCATGTCTGAACAAGGCTATTTTCTGCTCATTACAGTTGATTAAGGAACCAGTTCTACTATTCTGTCGCAGTAAACCAGGACGCTGTATTGTAGTTTGTACTAATTTACATTTTTGTGTAGGATCAGACCAGTCAAACAAATCTGAAAAAAATATTAATTTAAGATGATTTATGAAGTAAAAACTAAATAGCTGGTGACAAAATACAAAATTAAAAGTTTTCCTTTCTTTTCAGAATAAAACGTTGGAAAAATTTGGAAAAGTTGTTTCATTATAATATATTTGATATATGTACATATCATCATGTACCATTCTTAATCATGTTAGTAAACAGTTTAAACTGTATTTTTCAATTTTGCTTCATTAAACACAGTTCTTCAGGTCAGGAATAACCAATAATTGATGGATTATACCATTTGACATAAAGTGAGATAGACCAATTAAGGAATAATGCAGTTTTTATCATAAAATTTTTTGAAGAGATATTTGAGCATCTTTTTGCATATACTACATGTATCCAGAGACATATAATACAAGAGATTTGCAACTCGGCGAAATCCCGTAAAAACACGCGGCCACTAGTAATAGTAGTTAAACCTTGTGAGATCTCCTTAGGTAATAAAGTCATTAATAAAAGTATTAAAAGTACTGGAAGTAAGGACGAATGTTTAAGCATAACATAAACTGTTTCAGTGTTAAATTTATCATAATTAATTAAATAATTTGAGTTCCTATATAATTATTTATTTTAATGTAATTTTGATTTTAGATTTGTATTATTGAAAAAGAAACATAATTTGATATTGTATTGAAAAAAAACTGATATTAAATAATTAATACTAAAACATAAATTGTATCAGAGTTCATTTTATTTGATAGTTTCATAATGGTTTCTATTGAATATACACCTGTCGCGGAGACATAATTTCACAGTGTGACATGTATATTCGGTTTGAATTATTCGATGACCAGGTAAATCACGAACATGTTATAAATAATGAGTTTTAATTGACACCTTGTAAACAAGAAGTTGTTACACCACAGGTGTCCGCACTCTTTCCAAAAATACAATTCACAAAATGTAAAATTAATTAATGTGGAAAAAAACTTAATTTTTTTTGTTAATTAATTGTTAATCATGATAGGCTTTGTTTTTTATTCTTGATATTTATAAATTATTAAAATTTTATTTATTTTTATATTCATCATTATTTGGGCTTGCATTGAGCTTTTTTTGTAGGATTGTCGGTAAATGTTTGATTCCCAATTAATTTCTCATTTGAATAAAGCTTCATTCATGTGCACGCAATATGGAAAATTCAAATTTTATTTCGTGAGATGACAATCTTAATAGTTACGACTTAGATATACTCCTAGTTGAATAAACTGATAACGAACTCTTTGTAGGGAGACCAAATGGTTTCTACGGCAATAGGAGGTGAAGTAAAATGGGCCGAGTTTTAACTGTGTTTGTATTTGATTAATCTCATCATTAGAACACATTTTATCAATAACAAATTATTCGAATTAGTTTTTTGTAACTTTTAAATATACTTAGATATAGGAAGATGTGGTATGACATGTATGAGTGCCAATGAGACAACTCGCCATCCAAGTTACAATTTATAAAAGTAAACCATTATAGGTCAATGTACGGCCTTCAACACGGAGCATTGCATGCTTTAGCTGTGAAAGGTATCGGCATTATCCATTAGACAAATCGTGAGGCGTAGAACCTTTTTCACAACTCAGTGATCTCCCCAGGCCGTTTTAGCGTCGCGGCCCCGCGATGCTATAATTTTTTACCGTGACGCTATAATAATTTCCGCGACGCTATAATTGTTTTGAGGACGCTATTTTTTTCTTGTCTGCTCTTAAATTGCCGCAATATCGATGTCCTAAATTTCGAACTTTCATCGAATTGCCGCTTGTGATCATAAAAATTATATCACCTTTAATTGTAATCCCTTCAAATCGGACATAAGAGGCGATTAAATAGGTGTTAATTGCCATTTGGATGATAACTGTTTGGATACGAATACCCCAAGCTGACACTTATGACATGACTGATAATTTTGACATCGAGAAAATCATAAACAATTCGAAATCTACGTTTGAATCAAGGCAAATTCGTCTCCTAAGAGAAGAAAAAACAAAAAAAAATGAGCGAACTTAACAGGCTGGTCGTTTGTTATTTCAAACTAACAACTTGTAAAGAAGTGTTTTCTTTCCATTCCGGTACTCGAGAGCGTACATAAAACATTTCGATTCTGGGCAAAATAAGTTCTATACTTCATTAGAACGTGATGAAAATTGCCTTTAGGTAATGTTTCATCTATTTATTACAGTAAAATCGTGATATATTCATCCAATTCTCTTCTCAAACATTGTTTATTTTCGTAAATTTTTCTTCGACCGCCATTGATATATTTGTACTAATTACGGATCGGAAGCGGACCAGCTATGATAAAAATCCGCATTTTTACGGTAATAACTACAGACGCAGAAACGGCACAGCTGACAGAATAATAATGATCCCAATAGGGAAAGCTACTCATTCCACACGAATTTACAGACTATTTGTTAGATCTCCTTGCAAAATGTATTTATTTCTATGTAAACGCATTGTTTCAATTAATTTACTGATTAAAGTAGTTTAACAATGTTTAAAACATATATCTGTTTGAAACAACTGGGACTGATACATTGAGTCCCAGGAAATAATGAATTTCGTAAACATGATAAACAGAATAGTTTTTAATTGAAATGGTATTACTATATGATACTTTCTTTTCCTTTTTGATATAAAAGAAGTTCTCTTTTGTACTAGATTTTTAGTTGGTAGTTTCTAACAAGAAAAATATAATTCTGTAACTATAAATGAATATTAAAAAAATAAACTAAAAGAACAGTTATACTTTAATTGTATTCTCAGTTATGAATTGAAAAAAATCAACATAACTTAAAAGAAAGAGAGCATCGCCGCGACGCAACAAATGACATTGAAAAATAAATACAATTTTTTTTTACGCCAAATGTGATGCTATCCAAAATTCCTGGGGAGAACACTGCAACTATAGTGGGTATTTACCCATAAATCCATCGGAATAATCGGCTTTCCGGTGGCCACGTCATTTCATTGGCTGTTATATAGACTCTACTAGAGTTGCGAATCTCTTGTATTATATGTCTCTGATGTATCTAATGCTTTGATGAGTACTCATTATTGACATGTTATTGCTTCTGACTTCCTGTGCTACATTTTGAAAATCACCAATTGATGGACATTCACAATTAGTTTCCTTAAAATAATCTGCTTCAGTTCCAACTTTAAGATTTGTTAGTCGAAATGGACAGGAAGAGACTACAGAACAAACATAAGATTTAATAGATGAAAACTCAGAATTTATAAGTACAATGTAGGAAAATGAGGGTCATATTAGTTTTTAGGTTTCTCTCACAAAATGCAGCATGAAGTGTCAGAATCAATTACATGTCATCACCAAGTGGTGTTCAAAGCTTGTTACAATGACAATGTATGGTAAATGCAAAAAGATGCTCCAATACATCTTAAATTTTTTTTGGGATAAAAACTGCATTATACCTCAATTGGTATATCCCATTATATGTCAAATGGTGGATTATACCTGAATTGAGGTACAATCCAGCAATTAATGGTTATTCCTGACCTGTTCTTTTGATAAAACTAAATTTCCATACCAGAGTACTTAATCCCATCAACAGGAATGAATATTTTGTAACTGTTTTGCATTTCAGGCCTCTGACTCTGGTCAAATCAGTCTAACTTGAGATTTATATCGGACTTTCTCATCTTGGTACATGATATATCAATGTTTTTGGCATTTTAAAAACACACGTTCTGGCGCCCTTGTTTGTATTTACATTTACGGTCAAGGACGAATAACTATAATAAAGAATCGGTGTCGAAACTACCAATCTTTATTTCCGGAAACCGACATGCTTATAAAAAAAAGTCAGCCTTCTTGGATCTTCTTGTATTTGGTCATACAATTTTAACATGAGGTTTTGGATTGGGGTCCTATATTGCTTTATTCTTGAACTTTTTTGACTTCAGACTTCAGGAATCAAAATGATGCGCCCCGGAAAAATAAGCATTTCTTATCTGTGCATGGTACCTGTTTAGTACCTGTTTAGTCTATTTATTAAACTAACGAATAAAACAAGTTGCTTTTTAAAAAAAAAAAGACAATACGTGAACCTTAGAACTTTTTTATTCTAATTATTAATTCAACTGAGTAAGAAATTATATATCAGTGTTATCTTGGCCATGTCAGTGTGGAGGATAATATTTTCTTTTTATTGTAAATCATTGAAATTTTGGCATGTTGAGAGAAGTGTTAAATATAAAGCAAGGAGAGAAAAAAAAATATTCCCAGACGTATAATTTCTTAAAGAATAATAATAATTCAAAACATGGAGGACACATGTACCTTCTTCCAAAAATTCATAAAATTAATCTAGAAATAAGTAATGAGGCATTGCGAACTGTTCAGCTAGCAGGACACATTAATGTTCGTTACCGACCAATCATCAATAAGTGTAACTCTCCCGCGAGAGATACTTACTTGATCTAATTATAAATATAAAAAAGAAGATATGGTATTATTGCCAATGAGACAACTCTCCACAAGAGACCAATAACAGAAATTAACAACTATAGGTCACCGTACGGCCTTCAACAATGAGCAAAGCCCATACCGCATAGTAAGCTATAAAAGGCCCCGTAATGACAAATGTGAAACAATTCAAACGAGAATACTAACGGCCTAATTTATGTTCAAAAAATGTACGAAAAACAAATATGTAACGCATCAACAAACGACAACCACTGAATTACAGGCTCCTGACTTGGGACAGGCACATACATACAGAATGTGGCTGTGTTAAACATGTTAGCGGGATCCCAAACCCCCTAACCTGGGACAGTGGTGTAACAGTACAACATAAGAACGAACTATAAAAATCAGTTGAAAAAGGCTTAACTCATCAGATGGATACAAACAGTAATACTACACAGAGTGGACGTGGCCGGGTAGTTGTATATCCCAACAACAAGTAGACACTAAGTACAGATCTGAGAGTACTCGCAGTTACTGACAGCTAGTTCAAAGCCACTAACAACTAATTAAAAAATCATGCATCTAAGACTAAATTATCATTTAGTACACATCCAAGATCCAATTATTGAAGAGGCATAACTTTTACATTCAAGATGCAAAAAAAATCATTAATAAAATAGAGTCACACGAGGTAAAAAAGTATACATTCTTATTGCCTATGATGTACGTCAATGTACACAAATATGATCATTGATAATTTAGAAGAAACTGTTATCAATGCATTAGAATTGAATGACACACAGGAGAATATACATTAAAGATTCTCAGCAAAATAGATTTAACTGCATTTGTTAAATTAATTCTTAGAAACAATGAATTTGAGTTTAATGGACTGTTATACAAACACATTATAGGAGCGCACATTGTCACCAATAATAATAACACTTTTATTCAGAAGCAATACAGCTTATAGAATATACATTTTTACATCAAGTTTTTAAATGCATCAGTGTAATATTAATAACAATAATTATACAAAATACACATATCGCGGAGAATGACAATAAATGCATATGATAAATAAGGAATACAACTACAAACTGTACGTATTACGGATTTTTTCGATGTTGAACAAAAATTTACCTAAATTATTAAGTTCTTTCACATTGTGATCTGATAACAACTGTATAAGTTTAAAAGTGGATGTGAAATAAAAAGGCCAAAAACGTTGCACGAAAATAACCCTTTACCACCCTCCTTAACACCAACATGCACAGATCTGCATCTGTCTGCCCTATTCATTAAAATCTTAGATAAGTTCCAATGGAGAGAAAACATCAAATTACACTGTCAATAGGGATGACGGTTTTATGGTCTTCACAGGCAAATTAGAGCAAGTTGAAGACTTCTTTAACCTTGAAACGAAATTGACCATCTATTTATAAGTTCTAATATGAGGTGTCGACATCTAGTATGGCCTATTTAGAGGGTGGTAAAGGGTTATTTTAGTGCAACGTTTTTGGCCTTTTTATTTCACGTGTTTCCGTGTTTCGACGTTTTATTTCTCGTTTTCTCGTGTTTGGTTCGATGTGCGTGCTTCATGTTTTCCCTTAATTATTTTCCGTGTTTTGTGTCGGTACTCCTATTTTCTCGTTCTTGTCCCGCATTTGATTAAAAAGTAAACCAAATTCAAAGTCAGCCCAAATATTGTTTTAAATTATAAACTAATTAACTGGTCCCAAGATATTTATTAATAGCCTATTGTATTACTATGTTATTTCATGTGTTTCCGTGTTCAGACCCTCCCTTTCACCACCCTCTATTTAGATACCGAAGTGCATGTACAAAAGTGAACGATTCCATAATAACGGAATTCTTGATGTTCAGTCACATATATTAAAAACACAGAAACGTATCAATATTTACCAATCACTAGTGCACATCCAAAAACACACATAAATTTAAGAGCATTACTGTGTGTGGATAATATAAGAAATTTCTACTTCTACCACTAAGTGATCACCGTCATTTGGTTGACTATCCTGTCACTGTTTGGTGTGCGCTTGCATACTTAACAAGTCCAAAAATAATTTTAACAGGAAGGAAATAATGTGTGCTGTACATAACATTTATACATGGTGCAAATAAAAACATGGGACTTGAAATTTAATGTGCATGCAGTAGTCTCTTGAACGAGTCAGACTTTCTGCAGCGGTCACTGAAATAATAGTGACATCAATGAACTAAATAAAGTTAAACATTTAATTAACTTACAAGATAACTTAATTGATAGAGAATACTGTAAAAAGGAAACATTAAAAGTTGTAAAAATGTATATTAACGAACAGTCTTTATTTTACTTGTTTTATTTTCATTTGAAACAGATTTTTTTTTTATCTGATTTGTCAAAATGACATGTGTGCATAATGATTTTATTGTTTAATACAAATCAAATCCCAAAGCCCACTAAAACTCATTGTGTAGAAACCATGCACAGCACTATTTTAAAATATCTCTCTGTGAATATGTAGACACAGATGTTTGATACCATAGGTCGTTATAATTAAATCTTGACCATTTAACTTTCACTTGTTTATCAAAGGGTACAACTGTCAACTTTGCTCAGTCAGTAAACCCTTGCAATGCATAAAATGTAGCGTTACAATTAATATACATGTTTGAGATGGGTCTATAGATTGTTTATTATCATATATCAGATAAGTGAATTAGCGGTCTGTGAAAATTCTTTATTGCCATGTTTTAAATATCATGCCAAGAAATTGCCTCCGTTGAAATTTTGCAAACATCCCATAGAGCAAATTACATGGATGATTAATATTGACCATTTGGTATATGGCCGTGTTCTAAGCGACACGTACTTGCAGGTCATAAATTAATTTGTTGGATGAAATCAAATCTTTAACTACTAATAGGTGCCGTAGGAGGTCCACCGGAATTTTTAGCGAGGATTTCTTGGCATGTAACAGATAGAAAACTCAGGATTACAATTTATAGAACAGACAAGGGGCAGTGGCAAATATTTCGTGTATATCATGAACACAGAGAAGATTACCCCGGCACCCTTTGCAAAAAAAAAAATCCTTCTTTTTCTTCTATGTGCCTTCGGACTTTATGTTTTGAACTGTAGTTTCACTTTCCATATTCGGTATTCATTCTAATGTAAGCTCCACGTGGCAAAAATCACGTGATGCAGGAATGTAGTATCTTGGAGTTAGACTATTTCTTTCTTTTCGGACGGGGACTCCAAGCAGACAACATGCATTTATATAACGGCACTGTAGATTTTCTTATTAAATAAAGAAAGTTCCCGGTCCGGTACATGAATAGATTGGTTAGAAAGCAAGATTTTAATTTTAATTAGATTGGAAAGCCTTATTTGGGGGTTGAAATTGGAGAGCACCAAAAAAAAGAAAGGGGGGGGGGGGGTTGGTTTCCACAGGGAATATTTTTATCTTATGAACTCAACATTCGAAAGTTTTTTTTTTATTTTAGTTAAAAGAGAGAAAAACAAATGTAAGACAAATTGTGAATGATCTTTCTTCCTTTATCACGTGAGGGAATCTCGCATATATCTGGTTTACCGTCAAACCGAGCACATGTCTTTTGGTTATTTCTGTCACTAGGTGGCTGTCTCATTGACGTTTACCCCATATTTTTTTATTGAAGCACAATGCACACGTATATGTTTTAGAACATGAAGTTAAGGTTAAAACTTTCATGTCATGAATAATAAAGTGGAAAAAAAGCAAAAAAGAGACTCAAAGAACTAAATAGAAAAAGACGAAATGATCTGATTTTCAAAAATGACCTGTTTGGTCGCTCGTAATCGATTGTCTACAAATATAGTTCCTGTCATTTGTAATGAATGTAAACTTTAATATCTCTGGTTTTTTTTTCATATAAAATTTTATGGTTAAAATTATTAGTTATGTTATTTCTTTTATAGTGGATTTTAAGATATTTTTTATTATGCTTTAGAACATTAGGGCATTGTGGGACTATGTGTCAAAGGTGTATGATTGAGGGGCAACTCATTCTATAAAAGCCGTTACTGGTCGCATGTGTCTTGTGACATCATTTCATGTCTAAGCAGTCCCAAATAAGTACATTTTTGAGTATACGCCAAGACGAGCATCATATTTTCAACTTTTGTTTCATTTTGTAGACTGTGTACCTCAAATTTTTTAACTGAAAAAAAAATGTCTTCATCGGGAACTCTCCAGCTGAAACCTACACTCTTCAGTTTAGCAGGGACAATACTCTGTTTTTTTAATTTTGTCAT